GGCGTGGGGAATCAGCAGGAGGGGGCAGTGAATGGGTAATGCCCTGGCTCCAGCTGCTACTCATTGTCCAGAGCACCAGATCCAGCAAAGATTTAGGGAGTAATAGTGCATGGTAATAAGGAGGAAAAAGAGTAGGAATTGTGACTTATAAGGGTGTCTCTGAGTGGCAATGCTTTTTGAGCATATTCCAGGAAGGTACAGCTTATGCTCCACCTGTGGCTCACAGCTATGCCCCTGGAACTCTTCCAGGGTGGTGCAGTGTATGCTTTACTTGTGGCTCAGGGCTACAGCTAACATGGCAGTCAAGCCTTAGAATCTGGGTGCTGCACTCGGACCACATTAATACCCCCTTCCTTATACTGTACTGAGTAGTACCAGTGTGTATAAAAGTATTGGAGCCCAGCCCCCAGGGTATGAAAATCGCACCCTCAACACCTGCAAAAAGCTCTAGATACCTGCTTCTGGGAGGAAGTTTGAATAAAATGAACTGCACGGCAATGTACAAAAGCTGTTGAGAAATGTTGATAAAAGCAAATAAATAACTAAATACAATAAAAACCGGGCAAATTTTCCCTCCTCTTCCCCCATTTTTGAAGAAGTCTAACAATAATCAAGAGCCTGACATTGTAAATATCATTTTAAGTGGCCTTGGAAAGGCAATTGTTAAAAGAAAGAGCTTTTCCCACATTTTCATCATCTGCTTTTCAGGGAGGCTTATTCTTGTCACCATTTTCCCATTTTGTTTGCTTAGAGAATCAAGCCTATTTTTTCCCTTCAGCCTGCTTCTGGAGTGTTAAAAAGGGCCGCCAATATATTGAGTTTACATTACAAACAAGTTAAAATTCCCAGTCTCTTAGAGCTTTTCTCCTAGGATACTAAGGAAAGCCAAGAACAGCTAAACTGTACAATTAATTCGAGATCACTTCTGAGTGAAACAAGAAGAGGTTCCTTTAAGCTGAGTAGTTCTCTTCCTGGAGATTAAGTCAGTTTCCGGAAGCCAAATTACTATTCTCTAAAAGTCATCTCACCTGATTTGTATTCCCTGTCCCATTAAATCCTCTTCCCGTTTAACTCCTAAACTAATTTTAATAAATCAATCTCAGGATTACCCACATGTAAGCATAGCCTTATTAACAGCATACTAGAGAGACAAATGGATGGAAAAAGGACAATGGTTGCATGTTACTCTTGGTAATACAGTAAGGCTGTGTCTACATTGGCACCCTTTTCCGGAAAAGGGATGCTAATGAGACAAGTTGGAATTGCAAATGCTGCAGGGGATTTAAATATCCCCCGCGGCATTTGCATGAACATGGCTGCCGCTTTTTTCCGGCTTGGGGCTTTGCCGGAGAAAAGCGCCAGTCTAGACGGGATCTTTCGGAAAATAAAGCCTTTTCCGGAAGATCCCTTATTCCTGATTTTAAGAGGAATAAGGGATTTTCCGGAAAAGGCTTTATTTTCTGAAAGATCCCGTCTAGACTGGCGCTTTTCTCCGGCAAAGCCCCAAGCCGGAAAAAAGCGGCAGCCATGTTCATGCAAATGCCGTTGTGTTTGTTCTACATTGAAGATCCTAAGACTGAATTGGCATGTTGGCTTCAAAAGAGAAGGCAAATATCTCTTTCAATATCAAGGAGAAGATGTAGATTTTCCTTTATCAGAAATGTGGTTGCTAACAAGATGGCCCAGAAGATGTCTGGGGTTGACCTTAATGTTGATCTTTCATTTCATTTAAAGAACTCCTCTTCCTAAGCTTTTGGGAATAGGGCAAGTAACAAGGGCAATATCTGTCCAGTTCAAAATACAGTGGAGGACCCACCATAAATTACTATGGGTTGCAAATTAGTGAGAAAGTGAACAAGTCCAATTTAGAAGAATTTCGACACAAATATGGATATTATCCATATATTTAGCAAGTGTAGTTTAATTCTATTGACTTTTATAATGCTTTAGAAATAACTCAGAATAGTAATATTATTGTACATTTTGTAAATAGTCTAGTAATATGAAACTTCACTGTTGCTCTTTGATGTCAAAACTTTCTGGGAAATAAGGAAACAGACACTCGTATCTGTGTGTTCAAAGAACGCAGGGTACAAATTAACAATGTATGAAGTCCTCTTGTACTGAACTCTACTAAATGCTGATCGATTACTTTGTGGTCAGATTACTAGACTGATTGTGATCATGTTTTTTTTACAAGACAGAGGTCTAGAACAGTGATAAAACATAATTGCTAAGATCTTGATTTGTTGTGTATACAAAGATCTAGAAAAAATCTTTTAGAGCAGAGACAGAACCCTGATCCATTGTCTACTGAAGTGGATGGCAAAGTTCCCATTGATTGCACAGGATGTTGGACTGACTCCCATTTTAGTGAAGGATCCATTAAAAATTCAGGAGTTTATGGGCTAGCTGGTATAAATTGATGTAGCACCATTGACATCAACAGAGCTATGCCAATTTAAACTAGCAGAGACTCCAGCTCAATATCTGAGCAATTGAATTTCCATTGAGCTAAAACTCAGATGAATATATAATCGGATTCATGCTCATTCACCTCCTCCAAAAACTGTCTTTTGCTTGGCAGAGACAATTTTTTATTAGAAGTAAAATACCAATCATAATTTTTACAGTTTAAGAGAGGGACTCTATTCTACAGTGCTTACCCATGAGAGTAATGCCAGTCAATAAGACTATGGACTTTTTAAGAGAAAGGATTGCAGGATTGGTCCCTGTTTGTCCTAATACTGGGTATCTATCAAACGGTATGAAAAATGAAGCCTGGCTGAATTTTCCCCCCCACCATATCCCTATGTTATAAGGGCATGGAGACATGTTCCCATATGCTACCCCTTGATTTTCCACAGATGTTTGTGTGGTTTTGACTGCAGGAGGCCCACACTGTACTAAACATCACTGTGTCTTTAACTCTCTCTATGGCTCTAAATGGGTTTTTCTTATACCTTAACCTGGTCTATTCTGGCTACCATCCTAATTTCTTCACTGGTCAATATTCACACTATTGCAATTACAATTACTGCTAATAAATTAATAATGATAGATAGTGAACAATTCCCTGGCAAAGATGACAAGACCCAAACACTGTAGCTAAAGAATGCAGAAATAAAAACTTGTGCCCTTGTTCAGACACATACACAAATATATGCAACTGCAAATCTGCAACCCTGGGGACTGACCAACACCCAGTGAAGTCAGTGGCAATGCTCTTTTAGTTTTAATGGGTCCCTAATCATCACTACAATATAGAGTATTGTATAGCATATTGAATTTCAACAGATAACGTTTCATAAGCCATTTCCATTCTATCATATTCTGCGGCACATAGTGCTTTGTCATGAATATGTAAAATGAAGAATATTCTCTTTATTTCATCTGTCTCTGATGATAAACTGTTGAGGACCGGATTTTAAAACTGCACAGAAATCAGCATCTGAAAATCTGGTGGTTTCATGTAGGCACTTGAGCAGAACTGGGCCATAAGTGGAGACTGGTGGATGCTGAACTCTTAAAAATCTGCCATATCCATGCTCTATGGATCAATGCAATCCTCTTGTTGGTTTACAAGCACAAAGTCCTTCAGTGTTTGTCACAGATCAGTGATGTCCCTGAATGCTACATTTGGATCTTTGATTCGGCTGAAAGATGTATAAAAAAGCTCACATGGTGCAGTCAGTCAGCTCTCCGTGGACAACACATCTAAGCTGTTTTTTTATACAACACTTCTTGTAAGGAAGGTTCAGCACAGCCCGAACTCAGACTCAGTAAATTGCCTGTAAAACCATTCCTTTCAGATGGCAGAGTAACTTTTGGTGTAGCCTAATGCCACATGCCTTTTTGAGGACAGGCCATCACAAATGCACAGAAGTTGATGGTTTTCAGAAATGCACATGATGAAGATTGTCAGATCAGCAGTCTGGACATTCCACATCTTAGGGCTTGTCTACCCTAGAAATGCCACAGAAAAAGAGCTGCAGCAATGCTGGAGAACTGTAGTGCAGACACTCCAGCAACAGACAGTGTTCTGCCATTGCTGTAGTAAATCCACCTCCTCAAGTGGTGGTAGCTAAGTCAATGGAACAATTCTGTTGATCTTGCCTCTGTGTGATGTAGTTGGCCTGACCAAAGTTTCAGGTCTAAATGAAATACTATATGTAACATATTGGTCCAAAGGTGGGCAATAATTTTTGCTGTGGGGGCACTCCCAGATTTTGGGAAGTGGTAAAGGGCCGCACATTTCTATGGAGGGGGAACAAGGTCTGGGACGGAGGATGGGTGCAGAAGGGAGCTCGGAGCAGGGGACTGAGGTGCAGGAGAAGGTGTGGAGTCTGAGAGGGAGTTTGGGTTAAGGAGGGGGCTGTGACCTGGGGCAGGGGATTGGGGTGCAGAGTCCGGGAAAGGGTATCAGTGCAGGAGAGGATTATGGCCTGGTGGAGGAGTATGGTGGTAGGGCGTGGGTGTAGGGTCTGGGAGAAAGCTGTGACCTGGTGTGAGGGGGAATGCAGAGGGTTTGGATGATGATGTGGGGCAGGATGGTGGCAACCTGGGGAAGGTAGTTGGAGTGCAGGAGAAGCTGGGGTATTAGGTAAGCTCCTCCCAGGCAGAGCCTGCCTCTAAGTGGCTCCTGACCAGCAGCCCAGCGGGACCCTCAGGTAGGTTCCTTACCTTCCACAGCCCCAGATCACTCAAACCAGCTGGCTGCTGGGGTCATGTGCCTCTCTGCGCCATGCCAGTACGAGCTATGAGATTGTGCCGGGGACAGGGGCAGCATGCGAAGCCTCTTCCCTCCTCCTGCATGGGGCGCGAAGGCACCTGGAACAGCCAGCCACATTGTGCAGTGTAGGGCTGCTCCATGTCTGAGGGTGCCAGCGTGGCAGGCCGTGGGTCGGATCGAAAGAGTTGGCAGGTTGGATCCAGCCCATGAACTGTATCTCGCCTGCCTGTATTGGTCCATCATTTGAGTGTGAAATTGCTGACAATTGGAGAATCCTATGGAAAAACAGAACCTTATAATATAAAGCTTCTACTACGCTGGTCAGCTAAAGGTACAACCACTTACTAACATTTCCTGTACTTCCAGGACCCTCTTTCTTCCCCTGAGGTAGTTATCTCACTGGCAAGGCATTTTTACTCCTCCTTCAGTGAGTCTCAGGTCTCTTATTCCCTTCGCCTCTCTCTTCATGCCCTCTACCCAAGCCCCTGCCTCCCTCTCACATGGAATCTTCAGGAATACAACATTCATCCAATAGAAGTAGTGGGGGAAAACAAGCTAGATAGATTTTTAAGGTGGAGCGTGATATGGTTCTGATATATCTGACAGGGTTGCCTGATACAGCAATTTCTTCCACCCCTTGTCTTCCCTTTACTCCTCTCTCTCCTCCCTCTCTCTCTCTCCTTTCCTTCCTTTCAGTCTTTAGTCCTTTCCTCACTTATTTCCTCCTTCATTTCTTGCCCTGAAAATTCCTTCATTCACTTGCTCCTTCTATCATTCTCTGTCTTTACTTTCTCTTCAGGTACAGTCCATATTTACGCAAAATAATATGGTTTCTCTTATCCTGAAAAATCTGCCTGCTTCTCTAACTGTTATCCTATCTGCCTCCGCAGCTCTGCTTCTGAACTGCTTGAACAGATGCTTTCAACAGGAGATCCATTTTTTCTCCCATTAAACCTTTTCTTTAAGCTTTCTTCCTTTGCGGCACTGCAGTCTTGCTTTCATTGTCTTCATGCCACCAATGTTTTTCTCACCCAAGTTTCTAATGAACAAGTCTACAGGTCACTTCTGTGTGCTTTATCCCCTGGATCTATCAGCTGCCTTTGACATTGGTGGTTATTCTCTTACCTTCCCCAGGATTTGGGTTTGCTTGATTCTTCTCTGACATCTCTGGCTACTTTCTCATTATCTCCTTAAGGGTCTCTATCACATTCCTTTTCCCCTTTGTTTTTTTGTTTTTAGACTCTATCCAAGGCTCTCTCCTTTTCTTCCCCTACACTCCTCCTGAGTAATGTAATTGGCTCACACAGGTTTAGCCAAATCAGCTTTTCTGGGCTTTTTTGTAAAAATTCCTATGCACCCATGAACTTTCAATTTTTTCCATTTGCATATCTCTGCACGATCTCCTTTCATGTGGCTCACACCCCTTGAAACTTAGAGAGGTGAAAATCAACACCCAGAAATTTCTTCCACAAATGTCTCCCTTCCCCCGATTTCTGTCACCATCATCCTTTTCACTGAATAAGATGGTAAGTTTGATGTCATCTTTCCCCCTCTTCTTGTCAAATTTGCTACATCTATACCACCTCCAAAATTCAGGTCTTCTGTGCCAGTGCAATTTTGTGTTTCAATTACTGCACCTTCTCCTCCTTGATTCTTATCTCTTTCCACTTCCATCAATTCAAAATATAGCTACCAAGTCCATCTTCCTTTTCCTGCTGCTCTGACCATGTTTCAGCCATCCTTGCATCTTCTCATTGCTCTTATGCTTACTCCATGTCAAGCTTGGCCTTCTCCTCACATCTTACTCCACTGCCTGACACTCTTTGTGTTTCCTCTCAGGCTTTGTCACTCTTTACCCTACTGTCCTCTTCATCCATTTCGGACTTTCATGCCTATTCCCTTGCCACCCATTTGTACCTGAAATAACCGCCCCATTTCTAGACTTGTTGGTCATTCAGTCCCCTCCAAGAAACCTTGGCAAAAAACTTTATCTGTGAAGTGTTCAAGCTGTGCTGTGCATTCCCTACTCAATGCATATTCCGTCTTGTTTCTCACCATGTTCACTTGTTCATGGAGCCTATGCCCAGCAGAATAAGTGGCAAAACTCCCATTGACTGTACGGTGGTAGATCAGATTCATAGACCCCATTCAGCAAGGTACTTAAGCACATGCCAAACTTTAAGCATGTGAGCGGTCCCAATGAAATCAATGGGCTTACTTTTGTGCTTGAAGCTAAGTACAAGTACTTGGTTGAATCAGGGATTTAGATTATAAGTTCTTCATTGTGAGTACTTGTTAATGGCATGGCACTAGAATACTACTAGCCATTGCTGTGTACTTGTTATGGTACAATAATGAACATCATAATGATACTGGGATCTGCAACTAAGAACCGACTGTAACATAGAATGATCTGTTTAATTATCCTTTCACTGTTGAGCTTTTATACCATTTTATTCTACAGGTTTTGGGGCCAGATCTTCAGCTGGTATAAATTTGTGTATCTCCATTAATTTCCATGGAGTTATGCTGATTTACACCAGTTGATAACATGGTTCTATATCAATACAGTATGAAGACTACTACCTAAATTTCCATTTAGTGCCATTGTAACTAGGGGGATCAACAGCCTTGCTGGGCCCCCGGGTAAGGCTGAGGGGTTTTTGACTCTGAGCTCCTGGAAAGGGGGGGAGGGGCTCAGGTGGAAAGGGCAGGGATGGGAGGGGGCAGCAGAGCTGTCCCAAGTGCATCATGCCATGACCCCTCCCTCTTAGCCTTGGAACTTTGGCAGCAGTTTAAAGGTCTGGGTGCTCTGAGCCTTTTTGAATAGCCAGGCCGGGGCAGCTGTCCCTTTAGCTCCCACATCGGCAGGCATAATTATAGCTTAATGCATAATGGTAAAAGCATGGTTTCAGTTATATCATTTTAGTTTCACAGTGGCAATTATGAAGATAAAAGGAATATTGGGATAGATCAGTGATAGGCAACATAGGGTAGTGAGTAGGTCATATGAGTGGCCCTCACTATGGATGCAGAGGGAGTGCATGGTTCTTACAGTCAATGTGGTGTACAGTCAGCACACACCTCACTTATTGTCCCTTACTTTACATGCGTGTCACTTTAGTAATACTGATAGGGAAAAACCTACTCGGATGGATACCAGCAGAATCTGGCAGTCCTGTGCATGGGCAACAGTAAACAAAATATCTCACGGGCCACACATAGAGCCCTGCATGTAGCTCTGTGTGACACAGGTTTCCTACCACTAGGACAGATCCTCAGCTGGTATAAACTGATGTAGCTCCATTGACTTTAATGCCTCTGATTTCAGTGGATCTGTACTGAATTATACCGATGGATGAGTTGGTCCACTGAGGTCACACACAGCTTGGAACTACAGATTATCTTCCTTGTAGCATTTGTGGAACACTGAAAATTCCTACATTGAAATACTGAAAACCCCTGCATAAAATATCCCTGGCAACAGCTTTAAGATGTTGTCCATTGGATTCTAAGCATACCAAAGGAGGCAGCAGTAGCCTTGCCTCTGAGGTGGCAGAAGCTGAAACACTTCTGTGGGTAATTGCTTTTTTGTCCGTATCAATGGAAATAGCTCCTACACACTTGCACTAAAGTTGTTCCCAACCTAGAGCTGGGTATTACAGAGCTTGTGAGAAAATCTTGCCTTTTGTCCTGCCAGCTCAACTATTCAAATAAAGAAACGGTATGAAATGAAAAGATGTGTTTTACGCCAGACCTTCGGTTGCTGGGCCCCATTCCTTTCCACCGGTTTAGGGCTAAGCACAGATGGATAACATAGGCTAGTGAGTGGGCTGCATGAGTGGCCCTCCTTCATCTCAGTGGATCGCAAAACTGTGGTAACCAAGATGGTCTCCTGGGATAGGACAGTTTTGCTAATTGCTTGCGAACCTAGAATTTGTGGGGGGTTCCAATTGAACTGTAGCAGCCCTTGGATGTGAAGGGAGTGCACGGCTCTTACAGTCAATGTTGTATGCAATCAGCACGTACCTCACTTCGCATGACCTTGCTTCATGTGCGTGTCACTTCAGTAGTACCGGTAGGAAAAAAAAAATACATGGATGGAAACCAGCAGAATCTGTCATGAGCAACAGTAAACAAAATCTCTCGTGGGCCACACACAGAACCCCAATGAACCCAAATGTGGCCCGTGAGCCGCAGGTTGTCCATGATTGGGCTAGAGCATCACGCTGCAATCTTCCCTGTATAAGGGGTAGCACTATCCCAGGAGCAGGGCAGGAAAGAGCCTCAGAGTGTCACACAATCTCCCTGGCTCCCAATTTGTTCCAAGGGGGAAATGGGTACAGAGAAGTTATAGATTACTTCCTCCTCTGTACTCTGGATACACTGGTGGGATGAATGGAGACAAAGCCCAGCCCATTCCTGAATAGTAGTCATGGAGAGGCTGCATGTGCAGCCCATTCAGAGGAGCACCTTATGCTTCCATATTTCCCTGCATATGGCAAGGGACAATTTTACCCTTAATGTCTGAACAAGAATGGGTCTGGATCACTTCATGGTAATCATCTGGCTAAAGCCATCACTGCTCAGAAAGAGAAACCAGTTAATACTACATGGGTGCGTCTAGACTGGCAAGATTTTGCGCAAAAGCACTTGCTCTTGCGCAAAAACTTGCCAGCTGTCTACACTGGCCACTTGAATTTGTGCAAGAGCACTGACTTTGTAATGCACAAAATCAGTGCTTCTTGCACAAATACTTTCACGCTCCCGCTCGGGAAAAATCCCTCTTGCGCAAGAATACTTGCACAAGAGGGCCAGTGTAGACAGGGAAGAACTGTTTTGCGCAAAAAAAGTCCAGATGGCTAAAATGGCGATTGGGGCTTTCTTGTGCAAAATCGCGTCTAGACTGGCCACGGATGCTTTTGCGCAAAAGCATCCGTGGCCAGTCTAGACGCGATTTTGCGCAAGAAAGCCCCAATCGCCATTTTAGCCATCGGGGATTTTTTGCGCAAAACAGTTCTTCCGTGAACACCTCAGTGCAGTTCTCATTATATATGTTTATACACAAACAGTAGCATTCTATTATCCTGTGCGGTGCCATGCAGTATCAATAAATTGCTGTGCAGCTTCTTAAGCTTGTCAGTGGATAGGTGCTTTATAAAGAAAATTATTAATTATTATTTTACTGTAAGGAGAGACAAGGCATTGAAATTCTGTTCTTTAATGAAGATTTCATAGACAGTAATACAGTACCCTTTCTATGGGTTTTCTGAACCATCCCATAGAATGTAATAGAGAATGATCCTTCCTGCAACAGAATATTCAACAAATGTACAGCAACAATATATAAAATATTCAACAAATGTACAGCAACAATCTCCTGCTCTGCTAGAAGCTACAGGCTTGATTCTAAACTCACATAAAGCATGTGCTGAGTTGGTGTAAATTGGTGTGGTTCAACTGAACTCAATCACACCAGCTGAGGCTCTGGCCCATTGATGTCAAACAAATTATTCCTTATTTACATCAGTGCAAATCAGATCAGAATTAAGATCCATAGGGTCTTAGAGTAATTTGTACAGCACATTATTAGTTGCAATGATATTAAATCTATAGACTTTTCCCCTGGGCCTATATTGGTTTTACAGAATATCTGTACAAATTTTCCCTTCAATACCAAGATGTAAGACTGCATCTTCCCTTCTAAATTAAATTCCACTTAACCAGAACAGACCATTGTATGGCTGAGTATGTTTCTTTTGCTTTGGTGTTCCAGCTTACTTTCAGAACTTGCTCCAGCACATATTATCTAAGTATAAAGACTCAAAAAAGGTCCAGAGAAAAACTTGATCCCTGCACCTTGCCACAGATTCACTCTTTGAATGGTAGAGTTCTGTTACATTTATGGCAACATTTACTTAAAAAATCATTATTTACAGAGGAGTATAACTAAGCCATCAATAAAAACTACTTAGACAAAACAAAAAGCAATTAAAAACAGTCTCTCCACACAGGAACAAGATTTATATTTTAATGTATTCAATAAAATAGTGATTTTGGTTATTTTTAAGTACACAGTAGGGCTGTGGGTATTGGTGAGTATTATTTACTTAATGTTGATTGTCATTCTTTTACAATCAGTTAATCATAGAAACAATTAGGTTTTTGGATGCTACTAATAGGTATGTTTTGGAGGGAGAGGGACAATGTGTTATTTCACAGTGGACCATAACTATTTATATTAATATTCTCAGTAATCAATTCATTAAGAGAGATTCACGTGGATCATTGATCTATCTTGTAAGATAAAAGGCACTATATAAAAGTAAGATTACTGTCCCCAATTTGGAAAAAAAATGCTTTAATTTGTATTTTCACAATTGCAACCCTTTTTAGTGTACATTAGCTTTTCAAATGATTGAATGCATCAAAATATATAGTTAAATAGACTTGGCTTGGAAGCATAAGGCAAACGTGTCCAGAAATGTATAGTCATTGATCTAAAATATGTATTTTATCAGGTAGAATATACATGTTTCAAATTGTTTTCAATCAGATTTAATGAACCTGAGACATGTATGGACACAAACTTAAATATTTGCTAGTCTGTATCTTAAGCGATTTGGTTTCACAACCTTCCCAGGGTGATTTTTAAAAATGAACTAATTATTTATAATACTTTTTACATCATCTTCTGCACAGTGACATAAACTGTGAAGTAGCAGCGAAAAGTTAAAACCAGCAGTTTATCCTTAACTCAGACCAGAGGAGAGTCAAGAGTGAATACTGCATTTTTGTATTTTGCTGGAATCAAAATGAAATTTGGAGATTTTTTAAAAAGTAAACAATTTGGAGGTTTTTTAAAAAAATTATGTAATTAAAGCTTTAGGATAACCTGGAAAAATCTTTCAGACTCATAAAGACATACACTGTCTCTGGCTTTTACACATATACATATACATATATATGTATATGCATAAAAACATTCCTATTCAGCTAGTTGTAAAAATACTTATATACACACCCCTGGATAGATATATACACATATGGAGAGGCACATATATGGACACGAGCACACGTGGGTAAAGACACAAACACCTATGGACACACACACACACACACACACACAGCTAAGACACATTTACTCACACACAGAGATCTGTGCACTCATGGCTGGATATAGGCACCTGCAAGCTTAGGGTCTTGGGAAGAGACAGATCCCCGCAGACATGGAGCAGTGAAGCCCTAGCAATGAGCTGCGCCGCCCAAATCTGTGCCCGCCGGAGAGGAGCATGCGGCGAGCTAGGGGCCGGCTAACAGCTCTCAGGCCACCTTGTCACTGACCTGCCGCGCTTGAGAACCCAAAGGACCCCTCCCCCCGCGCACCTCTGGGCACATCTGGCTGCCGCCGCTTCGCACGAGGTGAGCCCGGGAGCCGGTTTCGCTTCCCGCCGCCGGGTCCCACAGAGGCACCGTGCGGCGGCGCGGTGAGTGGCGATGGGTTTGCAAAGCGGGGAGGGGGGCGAGAAAGCCCCAGGGTGCGGGAGCTCGCGGGGAGGGGGGACCCCGCCCCCACCGGTCCTTTGCAGCAGAGGGGGGCATTGCAACCCTGCAAAACCCGCCCGCCGGCCCACCCTGGCCTCTCTAAGGCAAATATACAGCGATCCCCCCCCCGCCCCCGGTTGAAAACTTGCCGCGGGCGCCTTACCGTGCGGGGCTGGCAGTCCGGCGCGGGGCTGCTCCTGGGCTCCGGCTCTGGATCGCTCCCTCTCATTTGCCCTTTCAGATCCACGAGGGAGTTCGCGCCCCCCGCAAGGTCCGAACTTGTGCGGGGAGAGGCGAGCCTGGAGCGAGTCCCGCTGGCAGTGCATCAAGGCCTCTTGTGCGGCGGGAGGGGTGGGGAGAGCAGCCTCCACCAGTTAACTCCCGCTTCCCTTCCCCTCACTTCTCCTGAGCTCGCTTCCCGTGCACCGGCCCAACTTGGGCTCGCCTTGGCCAGGCAGCGGGCAGCGGGGGATCCCTGCCGCGGAGCCGCATCATCTTCGTCCCCCTCCTTCCAGCCGCTCTGCTGGGGGGAGTTTGGTGCAGAGCCTTAAATTGCCAGCCGGGCTGGGGCTGTCAAGAGAAGGCAGGCGAGGGGGGCAGATTCTGCAGGCTACCTGGTCGCAGCACGGCCCAACTTGGGCTCGCCTTGGCCAGGCAGCGGGCAGCGGGGGATCCCTGCCGCGGAGCCGCATCATCTTCGTCCCCCTCCTTCCAGCCGCTCTGCTGGGGGGAGTTTGGTGCAGAGCCTTAAATTGCCAGCCGGGCTGGGGCTGTCAAGAGAAGGCAGGCGAGGGGGGCAGATTCTGCAGGCTACCTGGTCGCAGCACGCGACAGATCACCGCTTTTTACCTGCACTCGCAGCCCGGGCAAGAACAGGAGACGCTGCTATCGCTTAGCAACCCCCATCAATCTTCCTGGGAGGCCCCCTCCTAAAAAGTTCTGATTGGAGGAGGGAGGAGGGGAGCCACGCCCCTTCGAGGATGCGCTGGATGCTGCCTCTGTCTTTGTGCTTTTTTTTTTTTTTTGCCTCCTCACCAATTCAGGAGAGATGCAGGTGGAGAGATTCCAAGAACGGCTAGAATGCAGAGCCAGGTCAGTCTGCTTGGTCGCCTCTGCTCCTTGTCTGCTGCTTTCTCTCTCACAGCTACTTCGAAAAATCTCCTTTTGTGCTCTCTCTGAAGAAAAACACCACCCCAACCCTCCAACTCTCTCATACAGCAGCAAAGAGGAAAAACAGACGCCGGGAAAACAAGCCAGAATGCAGCAAAGACCTGAAGCCAGGAAAGCAAAATAAAGAAATAATTTAGAATTTGTAAAGCTGTATTTTCAAATAATCCAGTTTAAAGCTTTGCAAAATGTGGCTTGATATGATTACCAGCCCCTCCACACCCCCAAACATCAGAGGGCAGCTAAAACCAGGCAATGGCTTTAAAGGGAAACAATTAAACATCTTGGGATGAATGACAAGAACAGCAAGAATGCAGAGCCAGGTCAGTCTGCTTGGTCGCCTCTGCTCCTTGTCTGCTGCTTTCTCTCTCACAGCTACTTCGAAAAATCTCCTTTTGTGCTCTCTCTGAAGAAAAACACCACCCCAACCCTCCAACTCTCTCATACAGCAGCAAAGAGGAAAAACAGACGCCGGGAAAACAAGCCAGAATGCAGCAAAGACCTGAAGCCAGGAAAGCAAAATAAAGAAATAATTTAGAATTTGTAAAGCTGTATTTTCAAATAATCCAGTTTAAAGCTTTGCAAAATGTGGCTTGATATGATTACCAGCCCCTCCACACCCCCAAACATCAGAGGGCAGCTAAAACCAGGCAATGGCTTTAAAGGGAAACAATTAAACATCTTGGGATGAATGAACCATAAGGGTTAATGGGTGCAAATCCATCGACTCCTGCTGGGATGAGTTGCAACAAGGCTGCCAAGCAGCTGTATGGAGGATGGCAGTGTGATTTACTGCTCCTGCTCCATTGCCCGGTGCTGTCATTGAGTAAAAGCTGGCTGAAATAACAACTCCGGACATCTCCATCATAAGTCTGGCTGAGTTATTTTGTAAGTTTTCTAGTTCCTCCTTGTTCACGGCATAGGTGCTGCAACTAGAGATGTGGGGGGTACTGAAGCACCCCCTCTGGCTTCCATTGCACACAAGCTTTCCACTTTGGCTCATTGGCACTCAGCACCCCACTATAAAAGTGGTTCCTCCAGCACTCCTGGTTAACAGGAAACTTCTGGCCATTAATTCCCTTAACTAACCTCACAAACACAGCATACATTATTTATTCCCTCCTCCAGTTTAAGTCAGGCCTGTCCTATCCTCCCCTCAGCATGTGTGATGTAGGAGTCTGGAGAAGGTGAAGGAAGACACTGGAGCATCATGGTCATAAGCCTCAAAAAAGGGACTGGGCAGTGAGCCCTTATGTTGCTCAAAGCTGCCATGATTCCCATGATCAGTTAAGTCAATTTAAGAAATAACCCTATTCCTGGTCTTTAATATTTAAGGTTACTGACTATTGGCTTACTTTTGTGATTCAGGCCCTGTGTTTAGTCTGCTTGGCCAGTTTTTACAGGAATTCTGTTCTTGGGTGCCAGTGGTGTTTGCTGAGATGTGCCTGTGGAATTATTTCATTGCAGCCATCAGTGAAGCAAAGAGCAAACCTCTGCTTGCAGTATTTTAATCCCTACTGTTCTCCTCTGGCTTACACTGCTGTACTTTAGGTGTAGCTCCAGGGGAGTAAAGGCACTTCCACCAAACTGAAACAGGGGAGAGGAAATCAGCTCCCCAGTACTTTAAATCATAACATTGTAAAATAGAGAACCAAGCCGTGTTCATCTTGCTCGTGCCAGGGAAGTCTGGCTGTCAGCTAGGAATAGGGAGGATACCATTCTGCACTGACTCGCACTTTGAGTGGTCAGTGTTCAGAGTGAGTGTGAATATTACCATTTGGATTTGGTAGCATTTTAAACTCACTCTGTGGGATTAGCCAGCACAGGGATGGAGGGACTAAACAGGGTTTAGAGATACTATAGGGCTTGCCACAGTGGTGAATTGGTGGAGCATAAAGATATCCTGGCCATACCTCCTGTCCTCTGGCCAGGGCCGGACTAAGGGGTGGGCTAGTCAAGCAGCTGCCCAGGGCGCAAACCTATGGGGGGGGCCAGCTCCCGGCAGGCTGCAGTGGCTGGCCGGGGGGGGGGGCGGAGCTGACTGTCTCATACTGCTGCAGGGCCCTGCATGGCCAGGTGCAGCCCGCCCCAGGTGGCCCCAGGCTGCGCGCTATCGGTGGTGGCCAGGCCGACTTGACAGCGCGTGTGCCGTGCACCCGGAGGTGGGGCCGCGCTTCTCGGAGGCGGGCCCGCGCATGCGTCGTACATCCGGGGGTGGGCCCGTGCATGCATCATGCATCCAGAGGCAGGGCCATGTGCCCCGGGGGCAGCACCACATGCCTGGGGCCAGAGGTGCCAAAATGCCTCAGGGCAGCCCTGCCTCTGGCTGTAATGGAAAATCCTTGTCATGCCCAATAGAAGCAACTGCATCTTTGCAAACTCTGGCTCTGGTGGAAAGGCACCAGTACAGTACCTCATAGGGGCTTCACACCTGATTTACAGCCAACAGGAAACAAGTGTACATGTTCTGAATGTGTGTAAATAATGACGTGTGTAAATAATGACACAAGGGTTCAATCCCACTTTTCACCCACAAGCCCTTTTTACTGACTCTACAGGCCTAAAGAGGTCACTTATTGATGATAATACTGGCCTCTAGCCACAAGGTAGCAGGTTGGCTCTGTGCCCCACAACAGTGTTGCAAGGTTCAATTAATTTCTCCATAGTGCTTTCAGATCCTTGGGCTCAGTCCCACATTGTTTGCACAGCCAAACTCATTGACATTGCTGGGAGCATCAGTTGCTCCAGGTAGAATGGTCTCCAGGAGGGGGCACTGACTGGGGGATTACTGTGACCTTAATGTGTGTCTTTAGAAGAGATTGCTTGTGTGCTGCAGAGCAAAGTGTCTAATCTCTCTGTACCGGAGTTCCCTCTCTCAGGAAAGTAGGGATCATGGCTGTGAGGATAAAATTAGAGCTGTGCAGGAATCAGGATTTCTGCCCAAGGATTTTTTTATTTTTTTTCTCCTCATTCTCAATCAGAAAGAAAAGTCAGAGATGGGAAATGTTACATACCAGAGACATTTTGAAAAATTCCATCTCAGAAGAACCCAAATGGATTTAAAAACAAAATCTGCTCCCAGGTCTATGGGGTCCTACGCGTCCTTCTGGCATGTGGACTACCAAGGTGCTAGGAACCTGGAGACCCAGGGAACCATAGCTACACTCCTTAGCAGCATGGAGAGGTGAATGAACTGGCAAGTAAGTAAGGCGGCCAATTTGCCTGCGTGGTTTCAGTCAAAAGTTGA